GTTTTGAAATTTTTATTTAAAAAAATATTTTTTTTCTAATACTTTTAATATTATCATCATCAATAATTTGTACGTCGACTGTGGTTCTTAGACGAAGAAGTATTTACGTTATTTAAGGTAATTGATTTCTCTTTTTGATACTTCATTTTCTATTTAAATACCGGCGGGGTACAAATTATTTTATCAAACACATTTTAAATTGATTAACATTAGAAATAGGAATTGTATTACTCTTTTTATCTGCTGTTTCGATTTTAAATCTATTGATAATATTCTGGTTGCGACTTGTCATCCCTGTTGAGGTTTTACTATATGTTTCCAAATAATAACTCAAGAGAGAGAAAGTATAATTTTGAAGAACTTGAATTTTAAATTACAGAATAAATGATTAAATGCTGTTAGCAAGTCATACAACAATATATATTAATTTAAAGTTTACTCAATAACACAGACCATAAACTTATTGATTTAAATAATGGCCTCAACTAGAAGAATTAAAAAGTTTTCCAAATTTTCCTTTGAAATAGCTTTCGTAGAAATATCAGTTTGTCAGATATTCTGTATTATATTTTAATGCTATCCCCCCTGTACTAGATTCATGATGAAATGATACCAAACATCAATGTAACTTTATTCATTTGTACAGATTATATTAACCTTATAGCACTTTGATTGTCAATACATTATTTCATAGTTATCATCTCATTAGTAAGTTCTAAAAATGTCTTTATGAAGATGATATCTCTTCAATAATTTGTGTTGTGGCTGCTATTGTCTGTGTGCTAGTTAAGGCAATAATGACAATACACCAATTTATAGGTTCCCTCCTTTCTCTTATCATAAAAATAGATAATAATTCCTGATGCACTTTTTCATTTTTGCATTTACAACTCCTGCAAAATGCATTTGATATAAGTTGTGCCTTCGTCATTATAACAAATACCCAAAAGATAAGGCACAATTTGGATTATAGATTATAAACACAAGGTAATAAGACCAAATCCAAATAAACACAAGGTAATAAGACCAAGTAACAGCGTTGTTACCGAAACGTCACACACTATTTATTTATTTGTATTTGGTCTTATTACCTTGTGTTTATAATCTATAATCCAAATTGTGCCTTATCAAATCCAAATAAATAAATAGTGTGTGATGTTTCAGTAACAGCGTTGTTACTATCTTCTGAATGAGTACTTTTATCTGAAGATGGTAACAACGCTGTTACTGAAACGTCACACACTATTTATTTGGATTTGGTCTTATTACCTTGTGTAAATACCCAAATGTTTAGTGGCTTTGATTTAGCTAAGTGTTCACCTTACACAAAGTAATAAGACCAAATCTAAGAAAAATAGTGTGTGATATTTTGGTAACAATGTTGTTACCATGTCTCACACTTATTTATCTATTTGGTTTTATTACCTTATGTTTCTAATCTATAATCCAAATTGTGCTTTATCAAGGTATAATTTGGATTGTAGATTAGAAACACAAGGTAATAAACTAAATCAAAATAAATTGTGTGTGATGTTTGGGTAACAGCATTGTTATCAATATTAATTTAGTACTTTTGTCCATTCAATTCTTGATTATGGTAACAACCCTGTTACTGAAACATCACACACTATATACACAAGGTAATAAAACTTTACCTTTTCCGGTCCCAAGCCCAGATGAAAAAGGAGGAGGGGGAGCAGTAAAAAGCTTGGTAAAAAACCTGGGCTCAGCTGGCCCGGCTGATAGTACCCTGTAAGGGCTCCTAATCCAGGGATACAGGATGAGTCTGTACTCCATGTTAGGAGCAGCTGCACATGGCATCTGTTCCTCATGCCAGAGGCGGCCATTTCTTTTGGAGCTAAGTTAGCCTGCCACTGAGTAGTGCTCCCAGTCTTAATGAAAAAGGCAGACGCATTCTACTTCACCCAGTGTGGAGATAAGAAAGAAGAAGACAAGATAATAAGACCTAATCCAAATGAACAATACATTTGTCTGAAATTGGTAACAGCATTGTTATTGGGACATTACACTTTATTTATTTATATTTGGACTTATTACCTTGTGTTTCTAATCTTATAATCCAAATTGTACCTTATCATCGTGTTCATATTTGTGACATCATATACAGTTGAACCTTGTTAAAATAACATAACTTAGGAACAAGAATTTAAGTTGTTATAGCCATTGTTAAAACAAATGGGCTTTAAAACTTGGGACTTTATAGAGTTATAATGAGGTTCCATTGTACTTCCATTTGAGCTTTTGAATATGTATAACTTATTTAAGGGGGGTCGGTGGAAGGATGGTCTAAACCTTTGGTTTTCGACCGCTACGACCCGGGTTCGATTCCCGCAATGGACACTTTTTTCTGTTTAAAAAAAAAAATGCTCCAATGTCCCCCGATTCTTGCAAAAGTCCAACCCCACCAGCGAGTGCAAGTAACCAAACGGGGCTCTGGCACATTTGTAAGTGCAAAGTCAAACTGCTTTTCACATGTGTAGACATGTGGTGCACTTACAGTAAAGGCAGTCGTCTACTTCTACCCACCATGATTATCATGGCCTGTACTACGTGTACTAGGGATAAGCAAAAATAAAAAAATAACTCATTTAAAAACTATTTGTTTTTGTTAAAACTACAAATATATTTGATTCCAATTCAAGAGAGAGGAGGTTTCAAATTAAAAAATTAACAATATACAGTAAAACCCTGCGAAATTGAACCTTCCCTTATAATTAACCTGAAATAATCCCCAATTTTATTTTATAATACAGTTTTTTTTTTGCCTATCCCTAGTACAGGTGGTACAGGCCATGATAATCATGGTTGGGTAGAAGTAGGCGACTGCTTTTAGTGTAAGTACACCACATGCCTACACATGTGAAAAGTAGTTCGACTCTGCACTTACAAATGTGCCAGAGCCCCGTTTGGTTACTTGCTCTCGCTGGTGGGGTTGAACTTTTGCAAGAATCGGGGGCCATTGGAGCCTTTTTTTTTTTTAAATCAGAAAAAAAGTGCCCAATGCGGGAATCGAACCCAGGTCGTAGCGGTTGAAAACCAATGGTTTAGACTAGCCTTCTACCGACCCCCTTATAATACAGTGAACTATGGCTATAATGAACCAAAGGTTTAGTTCCATTGGGGTTCACTATAGAGGGAGTTTCGAAACTATTATAGACGCGTAGGATTCTCTTTTAAAAATTAAACAATTTTTTTTTCTACTGCCCTTACTGCATTGAAAAATTAATGGGAGGGCCTGGCTCATCAGTGGTGAAGTCTCTCAACGGTTTTGTCAGTTTAATCTACCATTACTGTATTTGTTTTTATTTTTTATTAGAAAAAGTGAGCTTTTGATCAAAGGAAAGTCCAAAGGCTGCTTTCATTTTTTTCCATAGAAACTACTAATCACAAGGTAATAAGACCAAATCCAAATAAATAAATAGTGTTTGATGTTTTGGTAACAACGCTGTTACTGAAACATCACACACTATTTATTTGGATTTGGTCTTATTACCTTGTGTTTATAATCTACTAGCGGATGTGTACCCGGCTTCGCCCGGGTTTTATCCGAGTGAAAGTTTGCCTAACGAATATTATATATTATGAAGTATAATAAACAATGTTAAAGATTAGTTTTAATTATTAATCACAAGATTGTGTGTGAATATGTGAGAAAGATGTAATATCGTTGTTGTTTTCTTGGCCGACTGTTTTACATATGGTGTTATCTTAAAATTGCTTGTTTTGAATATTTTTTTAGATTGAGTTGAATGAATTGCTGAATTTTTTTTTGTATTTATATATAAATAAAATTAACTCTGTTGATTTTTTTTGTATTTAATCGATAACAGCGAAGTTACGCATGTTAAAGTTAGGAAAAATATTTTGATGTTAAGCAAAACCTGCTCCATCTCGTTTTACATAAATGTTGAAAATTTGGTCGAAATTGATGCATTGTAACGAAAGTTTTTAGCGAACACCACTTATGAAATTTGCATTTTATTAATATAGATAATCCAAATTGTGCCTTATCATGAAACTACTAATATAAGTTCATATATTTTACAAGTGAGTGTATAATCAAAGATGCAACTTGTGTTTCTAATCTATAATCAAATTGTACCTATTATAAAGCATAGGTACAAATTGTACCTAATCATCAATGCAGCTTAATATATAGGAGATTCAAAGCCAAATTAAATCAATAATTAATTTACATTCAGCACCATTGTTTGAAGATGGTAACAACGCTGTTACCCAAATGTCACAATTAATTTACATATTATGTCCCTTGGCAGAGCTGACTGCTATAGGGCGTGTCCCCAGGTGGCGGATAGGGGAACAACCTTCAGATATGATGGC